TAATGATTGTACTGGGCTGAAGTACTGTATATTTATGAAGGACTTCAGTAGAGATGCTTTACTGATCCTTAAAACCTGTTTGCATGGACAGTTTGTGTTTAACAGTAACACTTGTGCTTCTGGCCAGTGGACTTTGTGAATGAAACTGAGTGTCAAGAGGAAGTGCTCAGGAATTTTGACTTGTGTTGTTTTTTTGATCAACATCTGTATTTAGGGACAAAGCAGAAGCTGGTCTTGCTTCTCTACTAGTAATACTGGAGCCCCAGCCTAATCACAGATGTGTGGTAAAGAACAGACTGCTTGTCATGATAGCAAATAAATACCTACTAACATTGTCTGTACTGATTCTAGCAAATGGAAATGCAGGCAGTCATCCAATTACTTTTATCTTGTTCACTGTTGTGATTGTACAACTCAGTTTCTAAATTGTTTTTTCCTTCTCCTGATAACTAAGCCATGGTCTTAGTTCATCATTGTGCAGGATAACTGCATTATCTTTAACACCGAGTGTCTATCATTATTCATGCTGAATAAATAAGCTACTGTGTTTATTATGAATAGTTAAAATTCTGCAATTCTATTATTAAGACATAATTTAATATTAATTAAGGAAGTCCCTTTAAAGTTTTGTGTGCAGTATTATTACTCAAAGGGAGCTTTTTCTAGTTTAGTCTCAACTATTTCTTGTTGGTTTGTTTTAAATGTCTGAGCCCTCCCCTCTGCCCTGCCCTTCCTCCCCCCACCCAAAGGTATCTCCAAGTGTATTTAGTGAGGCAGTTTCATTATCCTTTTGCTGCTTGCTCTTTTTGAAGGCATGCAGGGGTGCTCTAAGGAAAACAAGGTGCCATGCCCTGTCACCACTGCTGGATTTAGGTCAGGTGTGTTCTCCAGGTTTCTGTGAGAGGAGATCCACTACCTAATGCACACCAAGTGTAGTGCTTGGCCTCCCTGGCTATGCAGATCAGATCAAGAAGGTGTCAAATACATTTTGCTGTCAAAAGCAGCCGTTCAGTGGTCTGTGTGGCCTGGGCAGACTATTGTATCCATTTATTCATGGTGACGCCTTTATAAAATAGTGACCTCAGTGACACCTGAACAGAAAGGGCAAATTAATTTCCTGCCTGGGTTGGGAAAATACCAGGACCTCCTTGTAAGGCTGGCTTAAAAGCAGACAACTCCTTGTTAACGAAGACGATTGCATTAATTCGGTGAATGTTAAAACACACAGCAGGATATTTTGCTGCTTGGAAAATAGTATTTACTGAAGCAGTGACTGCAGTCTAAATAGCAAGTTTCTAGAGCTGTAGTTACCTCTTTTGACCAGATTCTTGGGTGAATTCATATATTTTATAGCCTTTCATTATATGTTGCTATTACATAAGTTAACCTATTTTTTGATGTAATTAAAAGCTTGATCCTCCAACTGAATCAACTGTTTGATTCAGTTGGCAGCAGCAGAGGTGAAAGCAGCAGGATCTTGCTTGGCAGTTATTGCACGAATTAATGTAAATCAGGAGACATTGTAAGAATTGCTCTGTCTTTTAAAAGCATGTACTATAAAGTGAGACAACCCTTTCTTCTCCCTTTTTTCCCCTCCTTATTTACATCTGTGATGATGCTTTAATGTTGAGGTTTAGATGTAAATAACAAATATATTTATAGGGTTTTGAGAACTAGAATAGAAAGCTCCCAAAATAACAGCAAAGTCTGTGGGAGAACTTGCTTCCCAGGTATCTTCAAAAACAAGCACCCTTTTATAATTATGCATTTGTGTCTTCAGGTAATTTTTAATATATCTGTACATTTTATTAAATGGTTGAAAGTTGAAATGGCAGTATGTACTCTGGGATTGAAGAAAATTAGTATGTGCGATGTTGGGTCATTTGACGAAACGGACTGTCTTTATTCTGCCAGTGTTTGTTAAACCTGTGATCATGTATTTTTTAAACTTTTTGAACTGTTCTAACCTGAAAATACAATGAAGTAACATTCTTCAACTTTCTTTTCTTGTCTGATTGAATGTATTGTAACTGTTGCTTGTGAATCAATGGGAAAATACCAGGGATTATAAAAATATTCAGGTCTAAAAAACAAGCAGATTTTAAATTTGCTTTATTACTTAAGTAAGCAAAACCAACAGAACTGTGTTATTGATGAGATGAGCCTTATTTTTCTGTGCAGGGGCTTTCAGAGTTTTCAACCAAGGTTTCTTATTGGCATCTTTGCCTTCCTTTGAGTCCCACAACAAAATATTTTTCTCCTCTGTTATAAGTGTGTCACATCTAGGCTGTACTGCATGGCCTTTCTCTACTTCTGTAGGAGGCTTCATTCCAGTCAGTGTGTATTTTGTATTTGTTTATTTCCCTTCAGTTCTTGGCATATCTCTTCTAATTCTCTTGAAGTAGGCTTCCTTCATTTTGAAATACAGTATATTTCAGTATTTGCTCTTATCTATGGGCACTTGTTCTAAATTCAGTTTTGTAGTCTATTGCACTGTCATAAAATCTCTGTTCTCACCTCTTTAGCTTAAATGCTTTGTTTCCCTCCCAGATAATTGCAGGTTGATTGTGCTATTCTGTCCTCTTCAAGTACTGCCTTATGGTGGCATTCAGGTTCTCTTGGAGTGATTGTGCCTTTCTATCCATCACTGCCTGTAGCAAAGGAGATCTGCTTAAAATTTGTATGACTTTCAACGGATTGACCAGCTAATGTGGCCCTCTGATCCATGACCAGTCATACATGTGACCTAGTTGTATGACGAAACATCTGCTAACCTTGCCATATCATTCTGGAGTAAAAGTGAAATCCAGAATAAGTTAACATGACATTGAATGCAAAAGTAATTTACTGGCCTTCATCAGTCTTGTGCCTGTTCTTAAAGTGAATAAATTCTTTGACCCCTTTTCATAGGTGCCCAAAAGTGCCAATTTGATTGTCAATTTTTCCTTCTTCCGTAGCTCTGTAAATGCAGGTCTTCCCTTTGCTCTTCTATGTAAAGAAAAATATCTGCTGCTATTTTTAGGAGTATTGCCTTTGTTTTGCCAGGTTGTTAGTTGACTTTCTTTTCCTTGTGTCTTTTTACGATACTTATTTTGACTCTCAGTGCAACTGTGATATTTCCCCTTAGTTTTTCTTATTTTTTGTCTCTTCAATGAAAGCAGGATGGTTTTGCTAGCCTACTGACCATGGTGATGTACCTATAGTACATTTTATATACTGGTTTAATTTTGTACTTCATTCTATTCAAATTCACCCACTTTCTGGTTTTGTTATGTGACACACCTTAGCATTGCAAACCACTTTTTGACCTTCTTTAGTTTTTCTTATTCTTTCCCTCTCCCATTCCTGATTATAATACTTACTGTCCTGAATACTCCCTTTTATTCTGAAATTTGAAGAGAATATGCAAGCACCTGAATTTTCCTCAAAGTAAAGTTCACCACCTAAGGTCTATGGATGGCTTGATGTGAGCTACTCCAAGGACTATTTTGTGTCCTGTGGTCTGTGTAGAAGTGTTGTCTAAGTAGTCATCCTGAGATATCAATACTTGTATTTCTATATACTTGAATTCATTATAAACACTCTACCTGAAGCAACCTTTTAAAGAAGGTTAGTTTCTAAAGCTGGGAAGGTGTAATAAAATCAGGAGGGTTCATTGGTCATTCATTAACATCTTAGGGGAAAGCTTGGGTCACTAATTGGAAAGCAGGTAAAAGGGATGTTTCTGAAAAGATAATTCAAAAGCTATGAACATTCCTGTAAGTTCTGCTACTTACTCTGCTGTACAGTGGAAGCACTTTCTATTTTAAATACTTTATTTGAACAGTGATACCTTGATGTGAGGATGTCACTGTGTAAGATTGTTACATTTGTGGAGTTGTGTTGCTTAAAATTTCCTCCAGTTTCTGTTCATTACATGATTTAATGTGCCAAAATGTAATTTCCATAATTGATGAATCAATGAATTGTAAATGTCACTGTGGTTTTATTAATCATTAGTGAAAAATTACTGAAAGTTTAATATACAGCTATCTTTTTTTCAAAATGAAGCTGGACTGTCTTGTAAATAAAGTGTATTTTTTAAATAAATCTGTTGTTTTGAGCTTGATGTATGTTAGCAATAGGGAGCTTGTGTAAATTTGGATAATTTGAAGACAATAATATAATTTGAATGAATGAAGTTTGTTCTTAACCTGTGAGCTTGTTCGTGCTTCAGATTTCGTATGTATTTAGAAGAAAAGGGGACCAATACTCAAAAGCTTTTCTTATGCAAGCAGCCTCATATTTCCTAACTTGGGAGTGAAGTTAGAGTCCATAACTGGGGTAGCAGACAAAGATCCTGGCTGCAACTGGATGGGCTCTTTGCAGATGCAGGGACTGTGTCACTACCTGGCACTGCAAGTTTATGCCTGCTGCTTTGGTGTTTGGCTTCTATTCAACAACTCTCCTGCCATCTCTGTCCTTGGACATGCACCTCTGTGCATGAGGATTTTGCTGCATGGAGAAAGCTGAGTGTATATATTGTGATTCTCACGTTTGGCTTCCATGAGAGAATCACAGAATCCTCAAGGTTGGAAAAGACCTCCAAGATCATAGAGTCCCAACCTTTGACCGATCACCACCTCCTTGCCA